ACATATTGTATTTATATCATATATTTTATTTATATTATATGTTGTATAATATATACTAAAATATATTTTATATAATATATAATACATAATATATACTAATATATTTATAAATATTTCATATTTAAATATTAATATATAATAGTGTGTTATATATTATATACAAATATGTTAGTATAATATACATATATTTTTAAAATATAAATATATATTTACAAAGTTCTTCAACGTGAAGAAACATATCCAACAGTACAACAGAAGTAATCGTTTTGTGGGGTTGGGAATCTCCAAATACCATTTGATTCCAAAACTCCTATTTGTAATTGTTTTACTATATTGTCTTTTTTCTTTTTTATAGTACTAATTGACAGTATCTTTTGAATCAAAAGATTTGAATTCAAAATTTTTGAAGGTCCAATACTTGGCGAGTCACTTATAAATTTTAACAAAATTACAACCTACTTAATATACATGAAATATAGTAATGGAAGGTGAAGCAATAAGACAATAATAGTTTGCATCAGCTCTTCCATTTATTCCTGGAATTCAAGATCTTTAGAAAAAATTATCTCCTCCCAACTTTACAGATGAGAAAACTGAGGCTTGAAAAGGTTATGATATCAACACAATGTAACACTCAAATCACACGATGGATTTGCTCACATGCAATATAGTAATTTAAAGGATTGTTTTTAACCACACCTTAGGGTTAAACATAGGGTATAGGCTTGTGAATAAATAGTAATTTTTACACCAATCTCATAGCCTTAAGTATTGATGGCAACTACCATAACCAATGGCTTACTTTTCAGTATGTGGATGAAGAGGACCTGATGAACGCCATCAAAGGCTTCAGCTCCGTGACCAAAGAACGCACCACATTCACTGACACCCACCTGTAACGAATGGAAACTTTCAAGGTCTAATGGATGGATACAGCATTGGCAACCCATTACTCCTGGGTTATCACAACATGAGTGCTGAAAAACAGTTTCTCAACTCCACAACTCTGTAAAGAAGGGAGAGCCATTTTCTGACAAAGATTTAAGAAGCGGTCTGAAATTAGGAAAAATAATTACCGAAAACATTGTTTTGTGCTATTGTGTGCATGATGAAGCATGTAATTTTCACTTGATTTCGGTGGTCATGCCATCAGTTAATGGCTTACCAGTGGCAATATAGGATGCTCCCCAGCTGTTATAATAAGCCAGTGGTTTGCAACTATATTTTAGCATCTGAGGAAGGTGAGATTTGGAGGATGGAGTTTGGAAGCCAGTACAGGTAGAAAAAAATCCATAAAACTAATTCCAAAATAACCAGGAAAAAGTCAGGCTGGAGGTGTGACTCACGTGGTATAGAGTGCCAGCCAAGCAAGCAAAGTCGTAAGCATAAGACTTTGATTTCCTCCTATAATACAGGCTCCTCTAGGGAGGGGAAATCACTGATGAAATGTTTCTGGTTCGACAATGAAGCAGGTATCACTACTGCTTCTGTTTGCAATTTCAGGGCGGGAAGAAGCCCATGAGGAATGGCGATATGAATCATGAGAGTTGCAAGTGAAACCGAACCTCAGGCCATGTCAAGTCAGAAACAAACAGCACTGCAGATACACATTTAGCTGAAGTTTGCACTTAACTAGGGCTCGATATTGACTCTGCCTCGTGCATTTTAGTGTTCTTTCATTCATCTATACTTAGAAAATCTAAGGAGTAAACACCTAACTTGTCTCGATGCAAACACCTCCACTATCAACTAATGCTTTTGTTTCACATATTTTTACAAAGCTTTGAAATTCCAATTGGTGCTTTTCACAAAATTCTGTCATTTCATTGAATGCCAAGGACTTCTGACATTTTCAACTCAGCACTACTGTTCTACTCACAACAGTATACATGGAATTAAAAGAAGTAAATTCCTATTTGTGTACCTTGCAGTTTTGAAATTCACATAAGCACAAAACTATACACATGTATGTGTGTGTGGATATATACATTTATGTGTCATTGTAATATGAACTATAACCTCTTCATTTTCAGATCTTACTACTTGTCCTAGAGTAAGAGTTGGCTACATCTTAATACCATGTCTATCCTTTTTTTAAAAGAGAGTATCAACTGAATGAGTTTCATTGTGATTATTTCCATACATACCTATAATGTAAACTGATTAAATGTTATTTGGCAGTGTGGGGGTTTGAATGAAGGACCTATACTTGCTAGAAGGTATTTTACCTCTTGAACAATACCCCCAGACTATCAGAACCAATATCTATGATTCATTAAGTTCCCCTTTGGATTACAAAGTTATTAATGGAAGTAATATGACAAAAAATTTTTTTTAAGTCATCAACATATTTAACTTTGTTCTTCCTAGAAAACGATGTAGGTTTCCCCTTCACTTATTCTTAAGAGTTTTAGTGATTCTATGAAATACCTTGAAGCTTTCTCACATACTATAATCTAGTCTGACAGTATTTTAAGCAATTTACAAAGTAAGGAATAAGCTCACTTCCTCTGCATGAAAATCATGAACTACATGGTCCCACACTCAAAGAGAGTTTCTGGGGGGTACCACAGCTATCCAAATCTGTGGTAGAGTTGTTCCTCAGACTCACTCCTGGACAAAACTTGCCAACCATGTGTCAAAAACACAGACCAGTATTAAACTGTTCAGCTTTGTTGCAATTGCTATGAACAAATCTGAAACTTCAACATATCATGTAGATTAGGTAGTGGCTGCACAAAATTTTTTCTTGCCAAAAATTTTATACTTTCTGAAATGGAAACACAGCATTGACTAGTTCACTGGTCTTCATTTTTATTTGCTGATCCTGGATCAATTAGCTGTCTAGAGCTAGGGCAAATGAGCTAAGTGAGCTCTGTCTGCAAGTGAGCTACCTGAAGGATAGAGGGAAGAAGTGGCATTTTCTGATCATTGATTTGCTCTTGTATCCACACTTCTGGTGAATTCACAAGACAGGGCTCATGGTTGTTTTTGAAATTTTTAGTACTTTATTACTATGTACTTCAAAAAGCAGTTATAAAACTATAAAAATAGAAAACAGGGGATTTCTCTTACTATCCATTTACTCCATTCATCTAGTAATTAAACTAATTCAGTCAGTGATCTCATTTGCATTTTTAACCCTACAGATCAGAGTGAAGAGATGCTGGTATGGCTTCACCTAGAACCCCACCCTGTCCAATACTCCAAATCTTATTTAACTCCTAAGATTCTGTTTTACTAGTTTAAGTGGTATTACATGCCAAACTACATAGACCATGTAGCTCTACACAAACTAGCTCCACCACAGTGATTTTGGTTCAAGAGATCTAGGGTAGGGCTAAGCAGTGTATCTGGATTTAACACCTCCAAGGTGTCACTAAGAACCAGTAAAACTAAGCAACCTGGAAGAAATCCTGTACAGAAGCAATATGCTCTGCACAGGGATGAGGTCCCTTGACTTCTCATTCCCCCCTAACACAGCAAAAAACAATTGGTCTGCAAACTCTTAAAATCTGTTCTACATCTCCTCTGACTAATGGCCTATCAACTGCACAGGCGACACTCTCAGCTTAAGAACTAGCATGCTTTGTCATTCCTAGCACTAGCTATTTATAGAGTACATAGTTATGTTTTTAGAAACTGTAGTAAGAATTGTTTACAGATATAACTTCCAGTAAGTGGAGACTTTTAAATAAAACTCTGCTGCAGTACCTTATACTGATGTAAAGTTTGTGTTGGCCTCCATATAAAAATGATTCCACTGAACAACCTGTAAACAAAACATAGGCCAGTGAAATAATTCAGTTATAAGGAACTTAATTATGTTACAAATGAATAATTTGTTCCCAATACACTAATACCATGTATATTAGCCTAAAAATGGTTTAATAAATACGTTAATGTGAATCAAGTTTCATTTAGTGCATTTATGAAAAATACTCTAGTGTAAGCACTTTAAGAAAATCAGATATTGTAGTAATGTTCTCAAATGGTAATGTTCTCAAGCACTGTTTAAAATTAAGTGTGAACTCAAAAGAGTCCTATGTAAGATTCAAATTCAGCAGGACTGGGGGCTGGGAAGGTGGCTCAGTGGTAGAGCGCATGCCTTGCATGCCAGAAGCCCTGGGTTCGATTCCTCAGCACCATATAAGCAAAAAGAAAAAAGCCGGAAGTGGCGCTGTGGCTCAAATGGTAGAGCGCTAGCCTTGAGCTGAAGAGCTGAGAGACAGCGCCCAGGCCCAGTGTTCAGGCACCATGACTGGACCCAAAAAAAAAAAACCAAATTCAGCAGGACTGGGTTCTTTTATCCTGAGGATCTCAGTGCTAGCATCTGCACAATAAGAACAATTCTTAGCAGAGTGTTATGATAATATAGGATCTAGAATCCGCACAGAATGACGGAAAACCCTTTGACATAAGAATTATTGTTTTCATTTTTCTACCAAAATGTAAACAAAAACTAGTAGAGATGCAGTTCAACTTTTTTTCTCCTAGTCACAATACCCTTCATGATGCAAATGTAAAGAAAAAAATTCAAGCAAGTGATAACATGCTCAAACTTACAAGGTACCAGTGAGAACTCATATCTCTGCTTTAACACCAAGGTTTAAAATCCTGTACATAAAAGTAACAAACAAGAGTTAACATGTAGTATAATCCACAGATTAGTTTGACTTTTTATATTTTTACTATATAGTAGTATATACTGTCTTTTTTTAAGTAAGTAGTCTTTTATTCCTAGTAAATACTGTTTCTTTAATTTTCTTACCTGCTCACCTTTCATAAAAACATGAGTAAAAAAAGTGGGTGAGATACAAATATAGGAGTAAGGAAAATGGGTGAAAGAATTAGTCCTCAGTGATTCTATGATTATAATTTGACTAACCCTTCATTTATAGCCCTTTAAATTCTACCTCTCTTATTATAAAAAGAAGAAAAAACACAAACACATAACAGAAAGGTTACTTCAAACAGATTGTTCATTAAATAACTAAAAACTCATTGCTTAATCATTTTTATTTGGTTTAATTGATAAATAAATACAAGAGAATTTTAAGACACTGACAATATAGTAAACTTTAAAGAATTTCAGTTTTACTCACTTATACTTCTTAGAATGGAATATATACATTATTCATCAACAAATGCTATTCATCAATAAATGCTTAATGTGGTTTAAACTTACATTCACTTTATTTTCAGAACTTGAAAAACAATCTAAATGAAGGATATAAGAAAATTATTTCTTTTCCTCTGAGAATTTAAAATAATCTTTTTTACAAGTTAAAACTTTTAATAAAAAATTTAGAACTATAGTGCCTAAGTATAACAAAACTGCCAGTTATGTATTTTGATCATTAATATTGAAAAAAAAATAGATGGTGGCTCCTAACGCAAGGGAAATTAGTAACTGAGAATTTTCCCTTCTGGGGACTCAAAGTTTTGCCTTGATTATTATTTTTACTTCACCTTTTCAAACACAATTGCTCCAACTTAGAAGAATGTTTACATAGACTTTTAGCCTAGAATATTGGTTATACATGCTAAGATTTAAGAACGCCCAACAATGAGATTTAGAAAATGACCCACAATTAAAATGAAATGATCCTACACACATTGGAATGTGTTATTCCATATCATTAGTGTTTTGAACTACATGATATATTTTTTCACAAACATAGCACCTCATCAAATTCCTGGTAAATACTTTGCAATCACAATAAGGGTTGGAAGCCTAAGCTCCAAGAAGAATCACATGATTCACTTAAGAAAGCATTCCAAGACATGGCTCAGGCATATGAAGATGAAAGAATACAGTCAGTTCTCAGGCATAAGATTAGGAGTAAAGACAACAAATCAACAGTGAGGAGCTAAACATTAAAGTGGACTCCTGCTTTACAAATGTTCTCTTAGACATGCTTGTGAAACTTAAAATTACAAAATGGAAAGAGGTTATGATGGTTGTATCTCTTTATTTCAGGGAATTCTGCTAAAAAGATACTAAATGAAGTCCAATTTTAGTTTGTAAAATTTTAGTGTAAAAAAATCCAGAAAGGTTTCAATTTTCTTCTGGATGTAATAAAATTATCATTCATTTTGGTAAGTTTTCACAAGCTGTACTCTTGTCCGGAAGAATCACTTTTTTTATGCCGAGGAGATGGAGTGGTCTTTGTAGGGGATGGGGATGCGGTACCAGGAGAGTCAGTTCCACCATCCGAAGTGCTGGGTGAGGATGCCAGATGAGGAACTTTCTTTCTTCCGAGGAATCCTCCCCCTTCAAATCCGCCTCTCTTCCTGAATTCCACTTTGTTTTCATTTTCATCTTCCGACGCTCTTTTCTTGGATTCTGAAAAACCTTCTATTGTTTTATGCACTTCAGGTCCACTTTCTAATTCTTTCAGACTTTTTATTTCTGTTCCAGGAGACTTTCTCTCAGATACATTACATTCTCCTGTTGCCCCTTTCATTTCAGCTTGTACTGGACCCAAGTTACCATTTTCAGGGACAGCTCTTTCCACATTTCTGTTCAAATTAATTGTCTGGAAGTCCCTGTAACTGTGAAAGCTCTCAGTCCTTCTTGCCCTGGCTAACAAAGGACTCTCTCTATAAGGCCTCACAGAGCCATAAGTAGCTGCTTCGTGAATTGTTTCATGGTGCTGGAGCTGGAGGCTGAAATACAGGTTTTAAGAATTAAGAGTTCAAATCTCACTTGACTTTCTCTGGAATATTTCTCATTAACTAGGTAAATATAAGGTGTTTATATCTATATTTCTTTCTATAAAAATACCTATCAGATAGCCTACATATACATTTACCAGTGTAAATAATACCACAGATATATATTCATTCAAGCCACACTTTAAACAGCTGACAAAAAGATGGAAAAAAGAAATAAGCAATCCATCTACTATTTATACCTGTTCTTCAGTTTTCAATTTGTTGATATGCTAAAATAAAAGGCATACTATATCACTATATCAAGTGTGTAATGCTGTCCCTTAGGCAATGGGCACAGTAACGCCAGGCACAGGAGACCCTTACTGTCCACAAGGATGCAGTTCCACAGAGAAACCACAAACGCTCAGGATTCAGAGAGCTCAACACTGAACTGCAGAGGTTTGATTCATTGCTTCCTGTAACATGGCCAACTTCCGCTATGATCATAGTGCTTTTCAGAATCTAAAAATTTCATCACTTAAGTTCACCACACTAACTTCGATCTTGCCTTTTAAAGGCGTATTTTCACAAAATTAAGGGCCAGGGAACAGTAGGTCTCACAACAACTTAAACACCATCAACCAGAAGTGGGATACAAGAACTGAGTTGCATAATACAGACAGAAGAATTCCAAATTTTTGTTTTAAGGTGTCTTTTTGTAAAATTCATTTTTGACTGGATTTAGTCAGAGCTTCATGAAAATAAATACATAAAGAAGGAATAAGGTTCTTACTGCTTCCCAAGGAGACATGCAATTTGCCTAATTTTGGGTGAATTCTTTTTTTTTCCCCTCCCAGAGCTGAGGACCAAACTGAGGGCCTTGGCACTTGCCAGGCAAGTGCTCTTCCACTGATCTAAATCTCCAACCCCTTGAGTGAATTGTTGATCACAATAGGCATTCTAACTGGAAGTAATTCTCAACTGAGTTAAAATGAGGCAAAAATGAGGAGGGGGCCTAATTCAACAGAATCATTGCTTAGTATTTGTAAAGTCCTGGGTTCATCCCCTAGCACTCACTCTCACAGAGAAGGGGGAAAAAAAATCTTTACTATGTAAAGGATAAAATATGCATATAGATGAGAAATGCATTAAAATGTTAAATAGTAAGTACCAAAGTAAAGTTTTAACTAAATACATACTACGACAAATAGAGCTTTTTAGCATCTGTAATTAGAATGCATCAGTCAATCTCCCCCAAAGCAATCAATTCTTTAACCTACCTAGAATTTGATTCTCGTAGACGGCTATGCTGAACCACAGAAGTTGCTGGGCTAATGTTAGGAGTAGCACAACGAGATGTGCTCAGGTCACACTGGTCTAGTAATTTAAGTAGCTCTTCTTCAGTTGGACCTCCTACATCTGAGGAAAACAAACACTCCTTAGAATCACTTATGGCAAACTTGTACTTAGGTCAAGCGTCTTTCTCATGGGAACCTACCCCTATCTTCGCTTTTGTTCACCATATCCATAGCAGTGGTCAGGTCCCACATTTGAATGCTGCCATTTGTATGGCCTGTAAACAAGTAGCGCCTTGGCCTCGAGCCCATCCTACTCGATCCCTCACATTCTCTCACTGTAAATGAGGATATTGTAGTACAGTCAACAGCTTGAATCTCACATATTCTGCAAAAAATAGTAGACGATTGTAAACTATGGGAAGCAATAACATTTTACAATTAAGATTTTTCATTAACGGCAATGTTAGAGTTGAATGAGTATCTAAAGCAGACTTAAAAGGGTCAGACAAAGTCAATAGGTAGTGCAAGTCTTGCTTCTTTGGGAAAGGTTCTTATACACCAATGCTTTATTGAGCTAACTGAAATAAGGCAAATAATTAAATCACAAAACCTAAAAAGTCTTAATGAGGTTTAAAAATGAACCATGACAAACAAAGCTGAAAGCAAGCAGTCATGCCAAATCTTGAAAAGTCACTAGGACTTAGGTGAAAAGTTTAAGATATGAAACTAGGAAAAAAAAAACACAGATGGCCCAGTATATGTTCTTTTAGGATCTTTTATCAAAGCATATTTAAAATAATAGGTAACTCACTGGTTTTCAAATATGATAAAAATAACCTGAACAATTATTTATTTTTTGGTTGGTCATGGGGTTTGAACTCTGGGCCTAGGTGCTCAGCTCTTTAGCTCAAGGCTAGCACTCAACCACTTGATCCACAGCACCACTTCCGGTTTTCTAGTGGTTAATTGGAGATCAGAGTCTTTTGGACTTTGGTGCCCGGGCTGGCTTTGAACCGTGATCCTCGGCCTCCTGAGCAGCTAGGATTACAGGCGGGAGGGCCCAGCTATGAACACTTATATCCATCCTGATAAATGAGGAAATCAAGGGAAAATGTAAGCAAATTATTTTCCCCAAAGTCATATAGTCAGTCATATGAGAGCTAGCTGAATTGTACTGCAGTGAACTTCACAGAAGTGAAAAAGATTATTTAAAAACAAAAATTACTATTAGGTAATCCACATACACTGAGGTATTGGTAGAATACCTGGCAAGTAAAACAAGTCTATGAATTTACCCTAGTATGAAAAAGGAAGGAAGGAACAAAGAAAGGAGGGAGGAAAAGAAGGATTACATATAGTAATAGGCTATGCAGGCTATGCTAGTCTCACGCCTATCTTAAGGGGAAAAGTTATTAGTATTGTACCACTGAGTATGACATTTGCAACAATTCTTATTGTAGTTATCAGGCAAGGTAGATAGATCTCTTTTGGTCATGGGGCCTGAACTCTGGGCCTGGGCACTATCTCTCAGCTTTTCAGCTCAAGGATAGTGCTCTACCACTTGAGCCACAGCACCACTTCCAGATTTTTCTGCTTATGTGGTGCTTGAGTAATCAAACCCAGGGCCTCATGCATGCTATGCAAGCACTCTACCACTGGGCCACCTTCCCAGCCCCAGTAGATCTCTTTTTAAAAAATGTTTTTTAATTCATAGTTTTTTGTTCATTGATAATTGTTCTTACTATTGTTAATGGGATGAATAACATTTACTTTTGAACATTTGTAAACTGATTTATAAAACTAGATTCTTTATTTTAAAATAAAACAAATCAACTTTACACGCACATAAAAGTAAGTATGAATTTGCTTTTGCCCCTCTAAGGGATAGATTCCTTAGAATTTTTCTGTCAAAAATTTCCACAAGAAGTGTTCTTCCTTACTTTCGAATAGAACCCTTTCAATTTTGCTTCTATTAAGAGTCTGAACGTTAAACAGCAAGCTTTGGTTCACAACAGTTTCATAAAGCTTTATCAATTCTACAGTCACTTCAGATGGTTATTTGTATAACTATAGTTTTCCCAATGGAATCATAAATTTAAAAATGGAAAGATATAATTTTAGCATACACAAATAGTTGATTACAATACACTTCCACTGTCTAAAATAACAGAAAAGAGGGGATTAAAATTGACCATTGTAAGTGTTATACCAGTTTTAATAAGCATTTGGCAGGTTTGTTTTTAACCAAATAGATGCTGAACACTAAACCACAGGGATTTATAACATTTTTGAGATAATAATTTGGTCTCATCTACATTCAAGCTTCTAATACATTTTCTTAAATTAAAAAACAGAAGGCTGTCAAAAAGATAACTTAAGTACATAAAAATCAATTTCTGGAATTAATTCGTTTTTTGGTTGCTAATAACTACAACATACAATGAACCCTGATGGAAAGAAAATTTATCATCTTAAAGTTAAGACTTTAAAACCACCAACAACTTCAGCAACATTCAAAAGAAAAGCAGCTTTTATTTAATGGTGGATAGGAATTTTACTTAGTTGTTTAACATGCAAAAAAAAAAAAACCAAACTTGTTTTGAAAAAGAATTGTTAAAGCTCAAGCTCAATCTGAGGCGGCAAACAATTTTAGAGGAAGTAAAATTTGAACCAGTGCAAAAGAAAAATGAAAGCACCCTGTATTCTGTGACAGTCAGGGTCATAAGATATTTTATATTTTTAAGTCATTTTATCCTACAATATATTGTCAGATAGTTGAACTTTGTTTCGTTTAAAAAAAAAAAAAGCAAAAACAAAGGTTAAGGGACATGACTTAGCGACATGACTTTACACAGATCATAAAAGGAAGTGCAGAACTAGTTTATCTGTCTGACATTCACTTTGCCATATTCTTCGCTTTAAGATTGATTAGAAGTCATTTCTAAAGGATAAAATACTGCAGTGGCACATAAGGGAAGCAGGCACACTGTGCAAACACTGAGAACAGTAGATAGGATTCCCCTTTTTGAGAATAGAGACATTTTGTCTACATTAGAGAAGAGGGAAGAAGAAATGGTATAAAATACAAAAATGAAACATGGGTACATTAAATTGTGCGTGCCATAAGTCTTTAACTTGTCATTATTCTTCATCAAGGTTTAATGTTATCTTTGTATTCTATACAGGGACACGCTCAGATAATCTGTAATTTTTTTTATCTGAGAGATGCAAACAATGCACACAGAATTGAATGGAGTTGGACAGAAAATATTTAAATTCTAGTCCCTCTTGAAAGAAATCAAAGGTTTTAAAAAAAATTAATCAGTAATTGTATTTGTCCATGATAGAAGGTCAATGTGTTACTGTTCTATTATATCACTAAGTAAAGATTTTAAATCTTAGAGAATAAAAACTAAGTATATTTTTAATATTAACTTAATAATGAATGTAACAAACTACAAATGTTTTGAAAGAAATAAAGCAATTTCTTAGTGTAAGTATAATTATAATAAAGTGTTACCTTTTCCCAGTAGATGAGAGTCTTACAAATAGTTTGTTCGTGATGGGAACAACCTTCTGGATAAACACCTGTTGGTCATCTCGTTCTCCAAATGGCCCTTGATCAGAAAACAGCAAATAAAAAAATAAATTTTAACTTGTATCACTTTACCAAAGGAATATCAATACTAATACCCAAGTCTCAAAAAGAATTTCTTATGCTATAAAGCTAGCATTTAATTCCAAGTCAAACCACATGCAAAACAGACTGATAAAAGCACTTCAATATGCATTAAAAAGTCTTAAGATATACATAGTATTTCTTTTTTTTTTTTTTTTGTCAGTTGTGGGGCTTGAACTCTGGGCCTGGGCGCTGTACCTGAGATCTTCAGCTCAAGGCGAGTGCTCTACCGCTTGAAGCACAGCACCACTTCCAGTTTTCTAGTGTTTTATTGGAGATAAGAATTTCACGGACTTTCGTGCCTGGGCTGGCTTTGAACTGTGCTCCTCAGTAGCTAGGATTACAGGCATGAGCCACCGGCACCCAGCTAGTATTTCAAATTTTTATTTTAGCACTAGGCTTTAAAAGCTGGATGTGATAATTTCCTTAAGGCTGTATATTAACAGGACAGTGAGACTTGTTACTCAGATTTTCTTTTTCCCTCTCTTGTTTTTGCTTAGATTCTTTTGCTGGAATTATAACATATTACTAGAAAAATATGCTACATTTTTTCTTAATAGATATTATAAAGCCATTAAAATGACTGATTATAAAACATTAGCTCTTTCTAGCTTCAAATTTTATTTCAGTAATTAAGAAGAAAAACCATTAAGTATCAAATGTGTACACCATCAACATTATTTACAAAAAGAAGTAGTTTAACATGTGAAGATGGCATTATGTAAATATGGAAGTGGTAAGATATTTTGCTCCCAATTTTATAGACAATGAAAAAGCTTTAATAATAAAATTCTGAGAATTCATAGAACCTAAAATGAACAAAACCCATGCTAAATTTCTGATTTCAATAAAAATGTCACATTTTAGATTCCATTTTAGATTTGTAATGTGGATAATATATTCCATCTGAAATGCCTGGAAATATCTGAAAATTCTCACCTATGTCATTTCCAGAGGAATAGCTGCCATGGCTTTCGGTCTCCTCCAAAGACAGTATCTTGAATGAGGCTAAAGGAGTGGAACCTGGCTGAGTAGAGATCATGCCTCTGAATCGTGTCACTGTCCATGTTCGTACATGATTATTATCTGCACAGACTAGGAGAGAAGGTGATTACAAATGATTACTAGCTACACATCACAGGGCCCACCAAAATACTCTTCTAAATTCATTTTAACTTTTTCATTATGATCTCCATTAACAGCCTATGGTATCTTTTAAGAACCAAATGACATATTTACCTTAAATTTGTTGTACCTAGCTAAGAAGTGACAAAACTGAATACATTTTACCTTGCTGAAAATATATCCTTTTTATGGACAAACTACACAGTGTATAATTGCCACAAATGTTAAATAGGTCCACATCAGGAGTTACTGAAAAATTACTATTAGCATTTACCAAATATGTAGCAAGCAACTATTTATTCTCACTCATAACATTAAATATTCTATACTAGAACTGAGCATTACTTTTGTATAAGTATATTGTTTTTTAAAATGTTATTAGCTCTGTTTTTTTAATGGAATATATAAAATGAAATTTCTTCCAATTTATATCCATTTTCCTTTCTATTTTCCCTATCTGAATAAGTACTGTTACTAAAAAGAAAAACCTATACCAAAAATGTTATCACTAATATAAATAAATATACTAATTTATCACTTATAATAACTATAAAAAAATCTGTTGTTACTCATTAATAAGCTTTTATTCATTTGTAAATTCTAGGACAGGATTTAAGACTTCTATATACATACTAGTTCCTATTGAACAAATGAGTTACATATTGTAAACCAAACTTTGGAAAGAAATTTAATTTTCACAAATAGCAACAAGTAACACCTACACAGTTTTGTTCTTATGTAGCAAAATTCTTAATTTTTAAAATGTCAATTTCTCTGGTTCAAAAAAGGGAGGCAATATTTATTTTTAAACTGTTTAATCAATTTTATGAAATTAATTTCCTGATTTTACTGTTACTATTAAGTTTACTGGGATTCAGAAAAACAATTTAAATAATATTTTAATAAATTAGTAAATTAATATTGGGTAACCAAGGCAAGTTTGTTAATTATTATATGAAATCTTAATTTTAGGCATTAGAACACAGTTCAGGAAAAGAACATGATTACACTGTTGCTTATGTCCACCAGGTGGCATAAGTGGGATTATATAAAATACTCCAGGTTTCGGATAAGTTCGTCATTTTTCTTGACAAACTTAATTGCTGAAATTTCAAATCTACAAGAAAATTTTTATATTATAAGCTAAGTTTATTTAGTAGTCATTCTTTGGTATTACATACTACAATACATTGTAACCACTAAAATAATAACAGTTACTAAGCACTGTCACTTATACATCATAAAGACCCTACAAAAAAACATATCCTGTCATAGGTTTAAAATGCCTCATTTTACACATTTATTCAGTATCTTTTACAAGCCAAGAGCTATGCTACAGTGGAAAACACAAGTTCCTGGAGCTGTAGAACTTCTATTTTAGAATAAGGATAGATGTTGAGCAAATAAATACCAAGTGAAGAAAACCTCTAAGAAGAAAACAAATGATATAGGTTGACCCACAACAATGAGACATACAAGACACTATGTTGAAAACGAATTTTACACAGTTGGGGGGAGTGGAGAGAAGAGCTGGGGAGGTGGGAGGGATGGTAGGGGAAAAACAAAGAAGTGGGTAACAGTGCTTGATAGGAAATGTACTCATTACGCTACTCATGTAACTGTAACCCCTCTGTACAGTATCTTTATAATAAAAAAATTTTTTTAAAGAAAACAAATGAGCTCCTATTAAGAAAGCTATTATTGGACAGAGGTTTTGCTAAATGGGAGTGGTAGCCAAGAAGACCTCATGGAGGATATGTGAAATGGGACTTCAATGACAAGAAGGCAGCCAGACAAGTTACCTAGAAGGGAAATATTTAAAATTAAAAAAAATCAGAAACAAAAGTTCTAAGTTACAGAGGCAGGAACAAAAGAAAGTGGATGGGAGGTTAGGAAAAAAGTATGACATAAATAGGATCTAGAACACAGCAAAAAGGCAAGTCATGGTAGAGACTATGGTGGTACAAAGACAGCCCATACAAACAAATCCATGAGACTATTATCTCCAATTAACCACTAAATGCCAGAACAGCCTTGAGTGAAAAATTGGAGAACAAAAGACACATTATATTTCTGAAGTTTATTATACTATAACCAGGCAAAATCAAAGAAATCTCTGAAAACAATCCTAAGACTTCTTCAGTTACTAGATCTTCCTACAATTTCTTTTTTGTTGTTGCTGTTTGACATGGGGCTTGAACTCTGGGACTGAGCGCTGTCCATCAGTTCTTCAGCTCAAGGCTAGCGCTCTTAACACTTGAGCCACAGCGCCACTTCCAGTTTTCTGGTGGTTTACTGGAGATAAGAGTCTCATGGACTTTTCCTGCCCGGGCTGGCTTTAAACTTCAATCCTCAGATCTCAGCCGCCTGAGTAGCAAGGATTACAGGCATGAGTCACCAGCGCCTGGCTTTTTCTACAATTGCTTTTCCTATTTAGTATCATTTTCTCCAAAAAAAATACTCTTCAAATTTAATTTGTAGGCATATAGAAAATAACAGAGCCAACTTTCAGAGAGAGAATTTGTTCTCAATTCGAATCGTTCATTACTTTACCCGACACAAGATGCTTCTCTGACAGCATGATCTTCGTAACAGGGCTTCGGTGAACTGTGAAAGTCTGAAAAAGCTGAGGACCTGACCCAACTGTCTCTGGGTGCTGTACAATCACACGTACTGCTCCAGAGCTTGTACCATAGGCAATCTCGATCCAGTTACCACTGACACCTAGAGAGTCAAAGGTGAACGGCAGTTATTAAGTAATAATAAAATGAAAGCTGTCCTTGAAAAACTTCCCTATGATAAGTGAGACTCAAGATTATGACCAAAACTACCTAGTAAAGAAATCTGAAGGCTTCTCTAGCTACTTTACATCATTATTTCCTTATTAGTATCTTCCTAACCTTCACTTCAAAATAAAACTTCACCATTACATAGTATATGGGAACAACACACTGAACTTGTACGAATTTCCATGTCTATCAACCGAAACTAAGTCATAATAGTCTCTTCCTTGATCACCTTTCCCAGTGTCTGAGACACAGTTGGTACTCAATACAGTTACAGAATTAGTAAATCTGCCATGCCAAGACTCCCATTGAAACAAGGCAGTATTCCTAAAGCAGCATTCCATGCAACTTTGAATGACAGTATCTTTTACTTCTGCTATACTATCAAGTCAAGTATTACATATACTATTAACACTTTCTAAGCTCTGGAGTAAGGAAGGGTACAGTAGTACACATTTATAATCCCAGTACTCAGGCGGAGGTTGAAGCAAGAGAATCTTGACTTAGAGCTAGCCTGTGCTATGTAGTGAGACTGTCTCACAAAAACCAAAATCAAAACCATAGCCGATGGAATAAACACAAATTGCTTACATCATACTTATCTATCTTGCTCTCAGGAAGTCAGGATTACAAATGGCTGTGCCCAGACCAAAATACAAAATTAAAAGTAAGACAGATCTCAGCAACTAACATTTAAAAAAAGTAAAATGAGCTATTTTTCAAGGAAGATCAATGTATAGAATTTTTTTTGATAATAACACAGTCTACTAAATACAATTCAGATGGGAAAATTTTTAATTTTTCATCCCAAAATATGTTGATTTACTGGTCATTTTCATTTTAGTATAAAGTAAAATACTTATTTTAGATTAACAGAGCTGAAATCCTTAGCACTGAAATTCTCAAAAGGATCAAATTAATTTTACCCAGTCACATAACACACTAATGAATAAAAACACATTTCCACAGGAGCTTTGGGAACTTATCGTGACTACCATCGACTCACTTGTTTTGGGTGTGAGGTAAACACTCAGAGCAGTTATCGCATCATTGGAAGGATCATGGTAAAGTTCAGTAACAAGAAGATCATTATCCTTCATTCGCAAAGGGAACTTCTGCATATCTAACCAAAAAGTTTAAATAGCATTATAAAATAATATTTTCCTTTAAAACTAATATAATTTAACAAGCATTTAAATAGGAACATTGTCAGTGTCTTACCTATGTAATATATTGATCCATTGTTACATCCCAACAGAAGGAATGACCCAGCAGTGTCATAACTAGTTATAGGAACAACATCCTGAACCTATGTAATGAGATTTTTATCAGATGTTAGAAAGAAATCACAGTTTATTTTCTGTTCAATTTCCTCAAAACCTTGTTTTGATAAAAACAATACTCAATTTTATAGGGCTCAACAATTTGACTTTTTTCTCTTTTTTTAATGTTGGTCCTTGGTCTTGAACTCAGGGCCTGGGCATTGTCACCGAGAAGTGGCTAGGGCGCAAGGCTTTGCTCAAGGCTTGCTCTCTACCACTTGAACCACAGCTCTACTTCTGGCTTTTTTCAGTACTTAATTGGACATAAGAGGCTCATGGACTTTCTTGTCTGGCTAGCTTCAAACTGTGATTCTCAGATCTCAGCCTCCTGAGTAGCTAGGATTACAGGTGTAAACCACCAGTGCCAGCTAACTTTTTAAAGTACATATACATAAACACCCATGCCCCAGGGAACTCAGAAAGAACATCACCATAGTTTCTTTTAAAGGATTTGTGAACATTGTATTCCCACATTACACTTCACTTTTGAAGTCAGCTGTATTACCCTCTGCCTGCTTGAGATCACTAGATCATAGCCCACTATAACTGGAAGGCCAAGTCTGACAAGACCATTTCTCTCATACTTCCTCTATAAAAAATTTAAAACCCAATCAAGTCACATGGTAAGAGGCAGAATTAGAACTAATAAACAGAGCAAGTAACAATGAAACAGTACTTGATCCTTTGATAATTTATTTTAATATTTTTCAAAAGGCAGTATTTCTTTTTTTTTTCTTCATATGAATATTTTACCTGTTTTCTAGAAAATCACAGGCAAAAACAAAAAAATCTCCTAAGTGTGTGGGATTTTTTTTTCAGGTACTGAGCCTAAAAAGCAAAATCCGTTCTTTCAGACAAATTCATATAGTGAGAAGAGAAAAAGAAGGAGTTTACTACAAAAATCAAAAAGTAACTAGCAAAGGAAGAAAGGGAAGAAGGGAGGGAGGGAAGGAGGGAGGAAAGGGATGATGTTAAATAAAATAAACTGAATCTTCCTTCCTCATAGTTCAGGCCATGGGGCATATGCAACTACACAGATGGCATTTAAATGAAATAGTAGTCTCCAGGTTTTACATACAAAGGTCAAAAAGAGATGTCCAATATTTTCTTCACTTCTGTATCTGTAGGAATTTGGAGGGTTATGAATTTTGAGCTCATTTATAGGAAAAATCATTTCTTCTAAAAATGTCCATGTGCCCTCACTTATAAAAGTGTCCCCCATCTGGTTTCATGTCTACATCTAGAAACAAAAATGATCCTAGATGATTTTCTCAAATTGGAATTCAATTCACATTATTTGTACAGTTAATTTGAATATTTTGCTTTCAGTTTTTCATCATGAGTTTTTTTCTCTTTTCCAAGACATTAAACAAATGTCCATTTTTTTTTACTATAAGGTTATTGGATAAGCATGTTTTTTGACAGAAGCTCCATTTTTACCTTCCCACAAAGCCATGCCTATTCTTGCCCAGACCCTAGATTCTTGACAGATGCCATGTACTGTGTGTACACAAATAAATGAAGTATTTAATATGCATATTATATATACACATATAAATGGTTTTAATATTCATATCTAGTCTTTTTAGATGCAGAAAGAGGAAGAAGCTTGAATCAGCCAAATGAACTCCCTTACTGCGCATTCTAAGTGATTATGCTTAGGACTGTGGTCAGTACATAATAGATGCCTAAAACTTCTTTCTTAGATTGCAGAAGTATTTCAGAATACCGATTCAGTGTAAACTTTATGTGTAAAGAGGGGGATCAAATGTAAAAAGGAACAAGAAGCTGAAGTTGAGCAATTCCTTCATTTTTCTTTACTAATTTATCAAGTTTCAGTATTTTATTAAAAATGTCTAAGTGAGAAACTGATATTAAAAACAAATTTTTTGGTGGGACATAATGGTATATGCCTAAAATCCCAGCCACTTGGGAAGTGGAGATTTAGGAACACTGAGGTTCAGCCCAGGCTCCTCCTGCCATCCCCCAAAAAAAGCAAGATCCTATCTCAGCAAATAAGCTGGGTATGGGAGACATACTTGTAATCCCAACTAGTAAGGAAGCATAAATAGGAAGATCATGGTCCATGGCTATCTCCAGACAAAAAAGCAATACCCTATCCAAAAAGTATCTAAAGAGAGAAAGCCTCAGAGTATGACTCAAATAGTAGAGCACTGCCTAAAAAATGCAGACCCTAGGTTCAAACTCCTGTACCACCACCAATAACAAAAAGAATTAAAAAGAAAAATTTACAATGTCTTTTTTTTTTTTTTTTGGTTGTTGGGGGGCTTGAACTCTGGGTTTAGACGCTCCCTTCTGTACTTTTTAGCTCTTCAGCTCAAAGCTAGTGCTCTACCACTTGAGCCACAGTGCCACTTCTGGTTTTCTGGAGATTAGAGTCTCACAAACTTCCCTGCCTGGGCTAGCTTTGAACTATGATCCTCAGATCTCCTAAATAGCTAGGATCATAGGCGTGAGCCACCACCGGTGCCCTTTCTCTTTTAATGTCTTTTAAATGGAAATTCTTTCTCCACTCTCATTATCTGACTCTACCAATTGGAATCAAAATTGATCATACAATGAGTATAAAGGATTATTAAAACCCTTAAATTATCTACATATGTAAATATCTAAATGAGTATAAATGCAAGGGTTGCCCTGAATGTTTTTTCTGTGTTATCTGTGGGTGGAATTATCGCCAGGGGACGAATGAGAACATTTTTGGCTAGTGTCACAGCAGCCATGAGAATCAGCCTCTGGTCTGCTGTGATCTGCAGATGCAGATCAAAGCTGTGATTTCACTGCATACCATCTCTGCAATGCACTACAGAGAAATCCAGCTTGCGGGTTATAAGGCTTATAATGGTCAACCTTCCTAAGGTCTTTCTGACTCGTATAACAAATCTACTTTGTCAGATATGGTTTTTTACTTCATGCATACACTAAGCAAGAAGCCTGGACTAAAAGTTTAAGACTATCTGAAAGATATTAAAACTTGGAGGATTGGGGCGGGGGAGCAGGGGGCGTGGGGGAGGATGGGAAGGGATGGCAAAGGGAAACAAAGGAGGAGGCTACAATGCTTGATAAGAAATGTACTCATTATCTTGCCCATGTAAATGTAACCCCTCTGTACAGTATTTTCACAATAAAAAAGATATTAAAATGTTATGTTATTTTAAAACTGTTAGCTTTTTAAAAAAGTGCTGAAGACATGTTCCTTCAAGTAAACTTTAGCATTTTAATTTTTTTTTTTTTTGGGTCCGGTCGTGGGGCCTGAACTCTGGACCTGGGCGCTGTCCCTCAGCTCTTCAGCTCAAGGCTAGCACTCTACCACTTGAGCCACAGTGCCACTTCCAGCTTTTTTCTTTTTGCTTATGTGGTGCTGAGGAATCAAACCCAGGGCCTCAGGCATGCAAGGCAAGCACTCTACCACTGAGCCACCTTCCCAGCCCAAACTTTAGCATTTTAGAAGAAACTTCAGCCACTGAAAACTCAGACAACACAATTAGCAAAATGGTCCACCTGACAGAAGAACTTCCATAAACAAATAAAATTCCCACTTCTCTTTAAAGAAATACCATCAGCAAAATCTTAATGAACAAGTTCTTTTGACCTAAACCTTACAAGAACCACCCTCCTAGACTCACTGGGCCATATTTTTATGCTAAGCATATAATGCATCCTGTTACACCTCTGTGGAGGAAGTCCACTCTAGTTAGTATCTTCTCCCCAAACAAACACACACAAACCTGATTTATCTTTACTGAAAACAAAGCCTATCTTTCCTATGAAACAATTCTTTTTTTTTTTTTTTCCTGGATTGTTGGTGGGGGTGTAAACTTGTTCAACCACTTTGGAAAGTAGTATGGAGGTTCCTCAAAAGATTCCACATAGAGCTCCCCTAGGACCCAGCAATCCCACTTTTGGGCATTTACCCTAGTGATCACAAACAAGATCATACTAAAGCTACCAGCACAACTATGTTTATTGCAGCATTACTTACCATAGCTAAGATATGGAACCAACCCAGATGCCCCTCAGTAGATGAATGGATAAAAAAAATGTGGTATATATAAAATGGTATTCGATGCCTCCATCAGAAAGAATGACATCGCCCCATTTGTTAGGAAATGGAAAGACTTGGAAAAAATTATATTAAGCCAGGCCCAAAGAAACATAGGTCCCATGATTTCCCTTATTTGCAATAACTAGTATATGTCTGAGACAAGCAGAAAAGGTCAGATAAGATGATGTTAGGCGAAATGAACCCCAAGATAAGACACAAGTGTTTTTTTTTCTTTCTTGCTATTGTTTCTAACGTATTTATAAGGTGATTGTTTTGTTGTTTTGTATGTCCCTCCCCTACAGTATACCCCCTATTTTCACTGTATTTGATGTTGGTATAATTTAGGGAGGGGAAGGGAAAAAACAAATTGTTTAAATAGGGATACAGGTGGACCCATTGCAACAATGAGATGTACAAGATGCTATATCCAAAAACAAACTTTACAACTTTGGGGGGGGAGGGGTAGTCATGGAGATGGGAGGGCAGGGATGGTAGGGTAAAAACAAAGGAAGAGGCAACAATGCTTGATAAGAAATGTACTCATTACCTTGGCTCATGTAATTGTAACCCTTCTGTATGGTATTTTCACAATAAAAAAACTTACTTAAAAAAAAAAAGAAACAATTCTTTTAATTGGAAACCATTTATTCTCTCACTACCTGCCCCCACATTTCTGTTGCAAGGTCTCAAGAACATTTTTCTAGTCTCTCATCAATCATGATGACACATTCCTGCCTAGACTGTCACTTTCAGACTGACCCATCACCTTTGTGAGAATCTTAGCACTTGGATTAGCTTACTTTTATACAATTTTCTACAAGTGGATATTCCAGAACTTAAATATCCACACTGAGTCCTATTATACTTCACTGACCCCTACTACAATTACATCATTCATCATTACCTATGGGAGATTTGTCCCAAGACTTCCGAGGATATCAAAATGCTTGGGTGCTAAAATATTAAATGATGTGGTATTTGCATATGACCTATAGATATCTTCTCATCTACCTCTAATTCACCTTCAGATTAACTATACTAGCTAACAAAACAAACTATATTGTTTAACTGTATCATTTTTAGAATAAGATGACAAGAAAGAGTATGTACATGTTTGATACAGGTGGGATTTTTAAAAAATTATTTGCATCACAGTTGACTAAATCTCAATGTGCAGGGACATTCCCTTTACATTGGAGGGTTTACTATTTTATCGTCAAGTCAGTTCAATAGGTGATATGAAAAGGCTCTACCACTGAGAACTACTTTCCAGCTCTAAAAAGCCTACATTAAACTTCTCATAATATTCTTCCTAGTAATTTTCATTCATTTCAAGACCAGTCTTCTTAACTTCTTTCTAATCCCTGAGATTCTTATATCTTTTTCTGCCTACTTGACACTTCCTTACTACCAATTTCAGATATCATAATTTCAATAAACCAGATATCATAATTTCTCAACCCTTTGTGTGTCATATCCATTTTTATTAAAACTATAATTCTGAATCAAGGTGATAGTTTTTTTCTTCTCTCATTCTAAATCAATCTGACACCAATCCTGTCATTTCCAGAAATGTTTTTCAGATAGGCTCACCTTTGCCATCTCTGCTACCACTGTCACTAGTTAGTTCTCTCTGCTTCTTCCACTAGATTCCTTCATCTCCAGCCTGCCATTCTCTTTAGAATGGTAGCATTCTAAAACGGGATCCCTGGTGTCTTAGCTGTTCCTCTTTTCTTCAAAATCAAGTATTCATAATTTGCTAGTCTTTATCTCCTTACTCAAGTACTTCAGAGTATTTAGCTTAGTATCTTTTTAGAACAAGCTATATATTTCAAGCAGATCTCTGCTTCCACTCAAGAAATGAAGTTTGGGGGCTGGGAAGGTGGCTCAGTGGTAGAGCGCTTGCCTTGCATGCATGAGGCCCTGGGTTCAATTCCACAGCCAGAAGTGGCGCTGTGGCTCAAGTGGTAGAGCGCTAGCCTTGAGCTGATGAGCTGAGGGACAGCGGCCAGGCCCAGAGTTCAGGCCCCATGACCGGACCTCCCAAAAAAAAAAAGAAATGAAGTTTGCCTAAATACCATGTTCACAGCATGCAAGGTAGGACATTCAAGGAAATGAAGAGGTGCCAAGCCACTGTTGAATAACACTCATTTTCCAAAGCAACATAGATTTCTTGAATAATAATCAAATATCTATCTAGAAACAAATTTACCACCAATTTCAATATTCTGGAGAAATAGTGTGGACTCTAAAAAGAAAAAATAGATAAATAGCCTAAGTTTCACAGTATTTTCACTGCTGCAGTATGCGTTAATTAAAACTAACCTGCCAGTGCTGAGTGACAGCATTCCACACCCCCACTTTCCCAGTGTGACTCGTGGCCACCAACTGGTTGCCAATAAAGAAGAGGGCATCCACGGGAACACCAAGGCTGAACACTCCTTAAACGACAAAACAGAGAAAGAAGCTAAATTATCACCATTTTTAGGATTAGTCAAATGTAAATTAAAAATATCTCCAAGGGGGCTTACTTGAACCTATTTTCATTTCTACACATACTGTGCTAGATCTGGGGACAACAAATGAGAACTTGGTCATCTTTTAGCAGTTTATGGAACTCCAGAGCAGAGAATTTGTTGTAATCACACTGATAAAAACGAATGACTTGATATCTAAAGCTGTGGTTGTCAATCCTAATTGATCATTAAAATCATCTGGAAGATTTATTTGCTTATTTACTTAGTACGAAAATGTGCCAGTCTGGGGCTTAAATACAGATGCTCATACTCTTATTTGGCTTTTTTGTTCAAGCCTGGTGCTTTACCACTTGAGCCTCACCTCCACTTACCACCTGGGAAATTAAAAGTGAATAAGCCATGGGAGGAAAGAGAAGATGACACAAGTAAAGGAGATTGTAAAGAGCAAACCTTACATATTAATATAAAAGAACCAAAAAATAAATAAATAAAAGAGCCAAGTATGGCTAGACAAAGAATTCCAGGCTCACCTTGGAATGGTATCTAATAGCCTTACATAGTTGTCTGTCTTTAGCAGAGCAGTGTGTAAGGAGTCAATAGAATATGGATTGAAATACTAGCTCTAAAAGTATTGTTATTTTTCACTTTCTGATTCTTAATAATCTCACCTACAAAATACAGTTCTAGCTCAATGTCTCAACAATCATGCTCATCCTTAAACAGTTATAATCTAATTCTGGTATTTAAATAGTATCATTGTAGTTCTTTGGGATGTGTTTGTAATATCTTTTTAATCTAATAGTGAGGGAGAATAAGCCACACATATAAAATACTGTTTCATGGCCAATGTGCTAGTGAACATCTATTTAATTCTAGCACTTAGGAGGGTAAGTGAGGAGGACTGCGAGTCTGAGGACAGCCTTGGCTATATAGTGAGTCCCAGACAAGCCTTGGGCTCACAGTGAGATTCTCTCTTTAAAAAGAAAAACAAATTGTTTTATATAGATTTCTACTCAATTATTAGCTTGCTTATTTCAAAAAAGAAAAAGTATGTATGTACCAACATATATAATTTTGTTAGCATTTAATTGAGGAAAGACCCATAAGGCCTTGAACAATTCATAGGAAACAATTAAGGACAAGTAAGGTGCATTAACATAAGACAGGGATTGCCAGGTCCTCTTGAATCTTACACTGATATATATTATGAATTCATTCTCTGAGGACTATTCTATATACAAAACCAGTGGCAATAATCAGAACATTTTAAATTCTCAACTAGCATTGCAATAGGCATTTAACAGTAAGAAAGACAAGAGGATATATGCTGGCCAGAAAAAAAAAGAAAAACAGAAACAAAAAGCACTGCTGGAGCTGAGCACTGGTGGCTACTAAGGAGGCTGAGATCTGAGGACCATGATTCTAAGCCAGCCTGGGCAGAGGAGTACAGGAGACTCTTATCTCCAATTACCCAACAGAAAACAGGAAGTGGTATTGTACGCAAAGTGGTGGAGCACCAGCCTTGAGCAAAAGGACTCAGGACAGCACCCAAGGCCCAAGTTCAAGGTCTATGACCGGGGAGGGGGGTGGGGGGAGTACTGCTGGGAATATCTTCTATCTTCCTTATATACATATGAATATAACACCTCACTCAGCCTGTCAACCAAAAAGACAAAAAAAATTAAATACAACATACCAAAAAAGCTAATTCATCTGACCACACTTGGGTAAGAAATAAAACTTCCACTTCCAAGCAGAAAGAAGAAATTATTTCACATTATATGCAATTTTAGAATTCTTACATAATATTATTTGAATTATGAGGCCAAATAATTTTTCGAAATCTCTAAACTAAATTCAGGGCTGAGGCCTATATGAAAGGCAGAAACAAAACCAGGAAAACTAACATTGATACTACTCTGGAGAAGGATGGGTTTCTGGGCAATCAAGAAAGACATTGTGAATCTTCTCATGAAAGTGTTGTTCCTGCTTAGGCTCCAGAATCTGACCTCTACCCACAGGAAAGACAATAGTACAAATAATAACAAGTTCCTGTCTTAAGGGCCTTATCAGTAAAATACTGCTTATAGCAAATCCAGTACAACTGTCTTATATAAGTTATATACTGAAGAGACTTTATATACTGAAGAGACTTTAATCACTAAGAGAGCTCTATTACAGACATACAAACCCCAACAATTTCCTTTGGATGATGATGTCAAGTTCTGAAGAACATATGTAACAAAAAATGATTTCTTTTACTGATCATGAACAAATTACTATTGTACCATCTCAAAACATTAGCCTTTGAAAACAAAAATTTTGATTTATAAAAAGGCAACTTAAACAAGATAAAAAGTAAATCTCTACCAATTTCCTTTCTGTATAATTAGCATTGTACTATTATTAAAAACTTTTAGTTGAGCGGCAAAGAATCACGCCTATAATCCTAGCTACTCAGGAGGCTGAGATCTGAGGATCTCAGTTCAAAGCCAGCCCAGGCAGAAAAGTCCCTGTGAGACTCTTATCTTCAATTAACCACTCAAATGTTGGAAGTGGTGCTGTGGCTCAAGTGGCAGAGCACTAGCTTTGAGTACAAAGATGCTCAGGGACAGCGCCTATGCCGAGTTCAAGCCCCACACCCACAAATAGAAGAGAAAAAAATTAAGTAGCCACCTTTTGTCTAAAATTGTTAGAGAGGACCTATCCAGCTCCTTATAGAAAAAAATAATATCCAATTATTCCCCACTTAAAAAAACTACACAAAATGTAGGCACCTGTTTTCAGGCACTGACTGAACAGTATGCAGCAGAGGACTTGACAGAGGACAGAAACATGTGAAAAGCACCAACATGCAACATGAACTAAATTCTTCCTACCAATTTCACTTCCACTTCCACCATCTTGCACACTCCACAGGATAATGCTACTCTCTGAGGCAACGGCAACCATCTTGTCTTTGTCTCCATGAGGACCTCCAACCACTTTTGCATTCAAAGCCACTCGTTCAATAGTCCAATCCAAATATGGGCTTGTGAATACTTGTTGCCATCCTGAAGATTCTTTGATTCTGTTAAGAAATAATAGACACCTAAATTAGCCTCAGTAGTTCAGCAAAAAGAATGCAAATCAATGTACTGAAAATAATTAGGAATTAATCGAGTTGTATAACCATCTTCATATTTAGTAAATATAAAATTTTGATATGTAAATTTTATCTCTGAAATGCCTGATGTTTATACCCAGGACAAATGACCATTTATAAAGAGACTAGAGTTCTTTTTTTCTCAAAAGAATAGGGTAAGTTACCTAAAACATTTTGAAAACTCAAGACAAAGATGGCTATATCTTTCATATTTGTCCACAAAGTCTTACTGTCATCTTCTATGGATATGAGTGATGGACAAGAATCAGAATTTTAAAAGAAATTTTAAAATCACTTTCTGGTATTAAAGTTACTATTGCTAACTGAAAGGCATGCTTTGACCTGTGTTCTATACTTCAGTCTTATCATTGCCTAGCTAGGCAAACCAAAATTAGAAAGTCCTCCACATTCTTTAATTCTATGGAGCAATTAAATAAAGAGTGAGCCTCTGAAAATTGGTTTGCAAATTCCAAAATGTAAAACTGAATGGACTACTGGTTCCCTAAATACAAAAGCTAATGTATTCTCTTTTTTTTTTCTACCAAACAGAATTAGTTTTCTTTAATGATACAACTCTTTATCAGTACATTAATTGTATAAGGAGATATTCTGTTATAACATTTCCACACAAATATAATAGTGTGCATATCCTCACTCTCCCTTATCCCATCCTCCCCACTAAGAAACACTGCACTGCTCTATTTTCTTTTTTTATAGCAATTTTTATTGTGATTGTAATTACATAAATTTCACAAATTTCTACAGTATCCTGAGATAGTGATACTTAAAGTCACAAACACATTCTAACCTTCATGGGGCAAATTGTCTTTACCGTAGTCTATAAAGTTTATGAGATCTATTAGCTTTGACAATAGTTATTTCTTCCACATCGGGTGATATGTACATTTCTTTCTTCTTGCATGGTGTCAGCTGTTTCCTCTTTCCCGCTCATTCCCACTAACATATTCTTTAACATTTAATTTCTCCAATAAATATACCTCTCCACTCCTAGTGACCACTGTGCTCTATCTGACTTTACATCTTTGTAACCTGCATTCCATATAGAGCATGTTTTCATACATTTACAGCCTACTTATGAAATCATAATGATGAATTGACTATTAAATACTTTTAAAGTTGCACTAATGATATAAATATAATTGTAATCTTCTCTGTGTTCTTCCTAAAGAGAATTAAGTAAAAGATGGAGGAACAAAATTGTTTCCTTACATGCTACTTTACATATTTGGAAAAAATCAAATTTTGGGGGTTTAAGGTTGTAGTTCAGTAGTAGACCACGTCCTTATTAGCATGCATAATGATGAGGATTCTATATTTAGCTCAAAAAAAACAAAACATCACCAAAAGCCTTAGGTATTCATAAAGGACCTAAATAACAATACTTCCACTCAATTTCATTTAAGTATGTATGCTAAAGTACAACTATGATTCATAGAAAAAAAATCATTCCACCTCCTTGATTTGGAGGATTAATGATGTTTTACCTAAAGCTTCAGAGCATAAGGAAAGTTTATTCTTCCTAAGCATTTTAAGGTTGGTAATTACCCCCTTTCAGCCACTAGAGCGAATCATATATTAAGATAAACATGAAAATAATTCCAAACTAAAACTTGACAAACATTAGGAAAGAAATGTAGATATTTTTACTAAAACTTGACAAACATTAGGAAAGAAATGTAGATGTTTTTAGAGACCGTCCATCTGAGCACACAGGACTGACAGCACTTCAAGAAACACTATCAACATGCTTCTTTTGATGTGAAAAAGTGCTGAGTTCCTAACTTAATTCAGTTAAAAGATGCAGGATTGATTTCATGAGGTAAATGACATGATCTTGTGATCAATTCAGAAATATAAGTAATAATAAAACTATATGTAACTTAATCTTTGATCAAGCATCTATTTCTAGTTAATCAGAGTATTACAAGATAAAAAGATGTTTTAATCAGGATAGCATATCTAAATAATTCCTCACCTCTTTTCCTTTTCACATCACATGGGCATAATACCAAAGCATCATATAGTAGCTATACAAAACCGTGGTCAAAACTAATCTCAAGTCTGGTACTGGTGGCTCATTATCTATAATTAATGACCCTAACTATTCAGGAAGCTGAGATCTGAGGATAGAAGCTCAAATCCAGCCCAGGCAGGAAAGTATATGATACTCTTTATCTCCAATTAATTACCAAAAAGCTGGAAATGGAATTGGCTCAAGTGATAGAGTACTAGCTAGCCTTGAGCAAAAGAATCTCAGGACAGTGCCTAGTCCCTAAGTTCAAGCCTCAACTCTGACACCAACAAATTCAAAGAATGAACAAATAACAGCACCATCTATTTTTGTTACTCACTGTGTTAAGTTCCAGCACAGGTATAAATTCTACCACTAGAACTACTTCTGTGCTTCTATACTAGTCTCTACCATCAACATTATTTCTTACCACATATAGTGGTCTGAGAAATCTAATCTTTCTCTAACAAAAGACCATCACTAGCTATATTATCCTTCATTCTCTTTTAATCCCAGAGAACATAAGAACAAGTAAAAACATACTATTGTATAAAATTCACATATTACAAATCCGACACCCTACTTGTACACACAACTGTACTGTCTCCCTACCTTACTCCCAACACACAGTAGTTATAACCAGCAGTCTTACTCTTCCCTACTAAAGAGTATAAACAACTGACTCACTATAGAAAGGAAACTTTCATATATTAATAATCCTCTCTAATGTCATTTAACATGAAGCCAAATAACTCTCAGAATAATAACATACAATAAACTATCACTTGTTACACATCACCTGTAGCACACAGCAAAGTGCGCATATGCCGCTACAATCCAGTTGTGATGGCCAGCCACTATCAGCACCTTTCGTGGATCCACAGGAAATCCTGTTAAGTTTAGAGAAAGAATATTTTACTTTATAAAACAGGTTGACAAATTGTGGCCCACTGGCCAATTTCAGTCTTCTTTTTGTTTCAGTTAAGTTCGTTAGAACACAGTCACGCTCATTTGTTTAACTACTGTCCATGCTAGCACACTACCACAACAAACATGGGTAGTTCCAACTGAGACTGTATGGTCTATAAACATTAAATTTAAATTCAGTCTCTGCCTCTTAACAGAAAGTATGTAATCTTTGTTCTGCATAAGCAGAAGATCACATAACATGAAATAAAAATATGCTAATTCCGCTTTCTAAGATATAAATGCAGGTTCAAAACAGACATTAAGTGGTTGGGATCATAGCTCGTCAGTAGCAAAGGGTGAGTGCATGTATGTCTAGCATGTGAGAGGTCCTGGGTTCAACCCAAAGCACTACTCAAAAAAAAAAAAAATGAATAAGGCAAAACTTAAAATTTAAACAAAAAAAATGCAGAGTGCCAATGAGAAATAAACCATGTTTTCTTCTTGCTGTATGTCTGGAATTTTTGCTTACCCAGCCTAACAGTTTCTTCTCCAGTTCCAGAGAGAACAGGCTGTGTACCATTTCCACGGGCTTCTCCTTCTGCAGAATTTAGTCCATTCCTAGAATCAGCAGAGGATCTGGCTGCATTGTTTATTTTACGACTAGGAATACCTAAAAAGGAGCGAAGACAAATTTATTTCTAACTTAACCTTCCAAAAATGAAAACTATTACATTATAACAGAGACAAAAAAATGTGAAATCTTCAGATAACAATAGTGGAAAAAATTAATTATAATAATAAAAAAGAGAAGATATGTTTCAATGAATTTGTGATATTTGCCACATTATAATAAATAAGAGTTACCATGTATGTTCCACTTTTACCTAGCTTTGGGTTACTAAGTCAATAGATCATCAGTTCAAACAGTCTGTGAGCCAGTGTTTACATTTACGTAGTTACCATGTGGCAGGTTAACTATACTTTCAAGGGTCTGAACTCAGAGACTCATGCTAAACAGGCACTCTACCACTTGAGCCATTCTGCTAGTCCCTTTTTTTGGGGGGGTGAGGGGGTCCAGTCGTGGGGCCTGAACTCTGGATCTGGCGCTGTCCCTCAGCTCTACCACTTGAGCCACAGCACCACTTCTGGCTTTTTTCTTTTTGCTTATGTGGTGCTGAGGAATCGAACCCAGGGCCTCATGCATGCAAGACAAGCGCTCTACCACTGAGCCACCTTCCCAGCCCCTGCTAGTCCCTTTTTCTATCAGTTATTTTCCAGATAGGAAGGCCTGACTTTATCCCCATGTAAGCTTAGAATGTAACCCTATTTGTGCTTCCCTTTGTTCCTGGGGTAACAGGAATATACACCGCACCCAGCCATTTTGGTCTACTATATACAGCTTGACAGGTATGCCCAGTCTTTGGCTGAGATGCAGTCTCACATACTTTTATGCCCAGGCTAGCCCTGAACTGTAGTCCTTGCATATCTTGCCTCTCAATGAGCTAGAATTACAGACTTGAGTCACCATGCCTAGCTTCATGGAGAGCCTTTTTAAGTTAAACCTTGCTTAGAAACCCAGTATTATAGGCAAAGGCTTAAGTCTTCTGAACAAAGCAGGGCTGAGGAAATACTGACATCCTTACAGGGGCCCCCAAGTTCTACAAAATGAAGTCTGACAGCCAGCCCCTTACACACAAGTCAGTGGTATATGGGGCAGAACTAAGAAGATCCCATGAGATCTTTTACTTCATAAAGTATATCTGGTCCATTACAGGAAAAGTTAGTGAAAGCCTATTCTAAAACAAGAATGTATAATAAGACTTCACTTTTGAAAAAAAAAAATCCTAGCTGTCTATTTATAAAAAGAAGCCAAAATCAAGGAAGAGTTTTCCTTTTTCTATATTTGTAAGAATTTCTTAAAAGACTGAATAAAGTAAAGCCAAAATACCTGGTGGGGGCAAGTAACCATGAAAAAGGACACTGCCACAAGAGGACCGCTCCAGCTCTTCACACAGAAGCAGCCTTCTTACTAGAAACATGTCAAAGCAAACTTGTCAAGAGTACATGCAAACAGAAAAATACTGCTCCATTTTTATTTTCTCTAGTTAAAAAGGATAAGAAAAAAAAAAGAAATGGTCAAGTTAACTCAAAGTTGACAGTATCTTTTTACCATGAGCATCCATACAAACTAAGTTCTGAACTCCTCCAACAAAAATTAGGACCTTATAGAAAACACGTTTAATTTGAGCAATGTTACTGCACAGTCAAATTATAAATGTAAACTACTGAGATAAGGACACGTACCTATTCATCTACTGAGGGGCATCTGGGTTGGTTCCATATCTTAGCTATGGTAAATAATGCTGCAACAAATATAGTTGTGCTGGTAGCTTTAGTGTGGTCTTGTTTGTGATCATTTGGGTAAATCCCCAAAAGTGGGATTGCTGGGTCACAAAGGAATTCTATGCCTCAATCAGAAAGAATGACATTGCCCCATTTGTTAGGAAATGGAAAGACTTGGAAAAAATTCTATTAAGTAAGCCAGGCCCAAAGAAACATAGGTCCTATGGTTTCCCTTATTTGCAATAACTAGTATATGTCTGAGTCAAGCAGAAAAGGTCAGATAAGTTGATGTTACGGAAAGGAACCCCAAGATAAATATTCAAATGTTTTTTTTTTCTTTCACGCGATTGTTTCTAACATATTTATAAGATTATTTCTTTGTTGCTTTGTATGTCCCTCCCCCACGGTATAACCCCTACTTTCACTGTATTTGATGGTATAATTTGTGGTGGAGGGGAAGAGAAAAAAAATCATTTAAATAGGAATACAGGTGGACCCATTGCAACAATGAGATGTACAAGTCGTTATGTGGAAAAACGAACTTTACAACTTTGGTAGGGGGGGAATCAGGTGGGGGGGCTGGGGAGGGGGATGGGAAGGGATGGGAAGGAGAAACAAAGGAGAAGGCAACAATGCTTGATAAGAAATGTACTCAGTACCTTGCCCATGCAATTGTAACCCCTCTGTAAAGTATTTTCACAATAAAAAAAAAAAAACACGTACCTAAAGGGGTGATTCCATAAAATTCTGCTTCATGTCTGAGTACATTAATACTCACTCCCCTACAAAGAAACAAATGAATGTATGTTCTTTTTAACAGTGGCAATTTAAGATTATCATCTGAAGCAAAAGGAAGAAAATACTAAGTTATGTGGACCATGCTATAAAACCTTAAAGCTTACTTTTCTGTTAATATCTATTATCTAATATCCTTAAATCATAAAGTCTAAAATATGCATGTGAATTCACCATTTTGTCATAAAACCATTTTTATACTTAACCTGAAAACCATTCATATATAGATGACTTAGCTAATACAGGTAAACAAACAAGAAGACTCTCACAAGATAAAGAACAGAGTGGAAACCATTCTTTTATAGAATTGCTTTTAGTTTATTAGTATAATTTCTACATGTATTTAATCTGAGCCTTGTGTATAAGCTTTCTAAAGGTTTGGTTTATTGCTGACCTATGAGCTTTATTCCTTCCACAATGCTTAGCGAAGTACATGTACAGCCATGTAATATGAAATATGTGATGAATGAATAAAAGAAAAAGAAAAATTTTTTTTTTTTTGGTCCAGTTGTGGGGCCTGAACTCTGGGCCTGGGCGCTGTCCCTCAGCTCTTCAGCTCAGGGCTAGCGTTCTACCACTTGAGCCACAGCGCCACTTCTGGCTTTTTTCTTTTTGCTTAGGTGGTGCTGAGGAATCAAACCCAGGGCCTCATGCATGCAAGGCAAGCGCTCTACCACGGAGCCACCTTCCCAGCCCAGAAAAATATTTTTTTAAATTAGTTTAGCAAGGACTATCTTCAATCAGATGAAGATGATACTACTACATAGTTAAGACCATTAAGTAATAGGAAAATAAAAAGTAAAAAAGTTTAAAATACTAATGATTAATTTTAGTTTTCAGTTATAATCTGCCCTTAAGATTGTACACATTCCCTGGCCTTAATAAATAAGTGTAACTGTGTTATTAACCTGTTCTCATTTGCGAACTGACTGTGACTAGTTTAATTTAAGAATGCTTAAAATATCCTGATTCCATTTCAAAACTGTTTGTGTTAACAGAACACAGCACTGTCAGCAAGGTAGCTCAGAACACAGATTACATTCTTGAAGAAGGAAGCCCCTGTCCTAGAAAGGACAAACAAGTAAGGGCAATACCAAAAAACTTTATGCAAAGATCTAGAACACAGTTATTTGTTTTTGGTTTGCTTTTTAAAATTTATCTCTTCCCATCTTTGTAGAAGAGACTATTCAAAAAATTTAAATTTGCTAGGCTTTTTTTTAAATGTGTGTATGTCTAAACTCAGGGCCTGGGCACTGTCCCAAAGGCTTCTTTGATTTTGTTGTTGTTGTTTTACTCAAGGATAGCACTTTATTACTTGAGCCACAGCTCTACTTCCAACTTTTGGCTGGATAATTGGAGATAAGAGTCTCATTGACTTTCTTGCCCAGGACTGGCTTTGAACCAGAATCTTCAGTCTGTCTACTGAGTAGTTAGTATTACAGGCATGAGCCACCAGTGCCTGGCTAAATTTGGTAGGCTTTTCAAGTTTAAAAAAAAGAAAAAAAGAAAAAGTCCAGTAATGTGTAAGAAAAGCAGTCAATAAATACAGACTTTAAACTAATCCCTTTCATGGTTGATAAAATACTGTATTAGTCACAAAGACACTGACTTCCATAATCCAGTGATATGGGCAAAATAATCTTATTCAAGAATTAGTAATATATTTAATATGTTTCCTAGCTCCAAATAAGTCCACAATACAAAAAAATTCTCAAAAAAGAAAAAAGAAAAAGCTCCACCTTCTTTTACACATTTAGTAAACATCTATTTTGCATGTACTATATGCACTCAAGGAAAATAGCAGGGAATAAATCAAACCAAACTGTCTTTGCTATAGTGAGCTTGTTTTTTAGCGAACATAAGCCGAAACAATCAAATCATACAAAGAAGCAACTAAAATTATCACCTAGATCTCCACAAATTGTATCTCAAAAAAATAGTAGCATCCCTTAAGAACAATAAAATACAAATTATTGCTTCCCAGTAAGAACAAATTGTTGAAACAATCATTCAATTAGCTACACACACACACACACCAAGAGAAACATAAACACGCACATACAGAAATCATGCAGTAAACCCCTACTGTACATCAAACATGGTTCTGAGTTTTGGCAATAAGTGTCAGTGGCCCTTAATTGAACTTAGTCTTGTGAAGACATACCTGTGAAAAAGGAAGTGCCTAGAGCAAGTGCTGTGGTAATGATGGGACAGGGCAAAGAACATGCCAATAATCATGCTAAAGACCAGGAAGATGCTAAATGTTGTAATAGAAATTAAGCAAGACCAGATTATAAACAAAAATCTAAATCTTAAGTCCTATATGACATAACAAATAAGGGTTTTAAATAGAGTAGCAATCTGATCTCATACATATTTTCAGAGGATAGTAATAGTTCAATATAGAAAATGAAGGGCCAGGCACAGGTGGCTCACGCCTGTAATCCTAGCTACTCAGGAGGCTGAGATCTGAGGATCTCGGTTCAAAGTCAGCCTGGGCAGGAAAGTCTGTGAGACTCTTATCTCCAATAAACTAGAAAACCGGAAGTGGGGCTGTGGCTCAGGCAGTAGAGCATTCGCCTTGAACTGAAAAGCTGAGGGACAGCAGCCAAGCCCAGAGTTCAATCCCCACTACCAACCAAAAAAAAAAGAAAGAAAAGAAAAGAAAATGAAATGAAATGAAGGAATACAAGGCAGGGAAACTGCTCGAGAAGCTGTTGGGGTACTCTCACAAAAGAGGTGATGGTGGCCTCTACTCACTGGAAGTTTAATTGAGGACACCATCAAAATAAGTTTGGCAAATACCATATGTTGTTATTTGTGAAATAAAAACAGAAGCTGATTGCATAAAAGTGCGGAGTAGAATAGTTATTAGAGACAAGGAAGAGGATAAAGAGAGAGAGAGGAGTATAGTGAACAAGTGATGATAGATAATCGGGGAAAACCATTAATGTTACATAGCACAATAGGGCAACTATAATCTACAATTAACTACACACTTCTCTTCAGAAGGGTTTGAAGATTCCAAGCCCACAGAAATGATAATATTTGATAAAGGTGTGGGAAAAGGGAGTAATAAAATAATTCTGATACTTAAATAGTTTAAACATTTAAAATAATTTTGGAGCAGTGGCTCCTAAGAGTATCAGCCAGGAACAAAAGAGCCCAAGTGAAGCACCAACTTCAAGCTCCAGTATACACACACACATACCATACATAAATACACACATACATACATACATATACATACACATACATACATACACACATATACGTACATACATACACATACATACATACATACACACATACATACACACACACACATATGCACAGAAGATAAAGAAAAATGGTATCTGAAGAAACAGAAATGCTAACTGCCAGGCCGGGTGCTGGTGGCTCACGCCTGTAATCCTAGCTACTCAGGAGGCTGAGATCTGAGGATCGTGGTTCAAAGCCAGCCCGGGCAGGGGAGACCGTGAGACTCCTATCTCCAATAAACCATCAGAAAACCGGAAGTGGCGCTGTAGCTCATGTGGTAGAGCGCTCGCCTTGAGCTGAAGAGCTGAGGGACAGCGCCCTGGCCCAGAGTTCAAGCCCCACGACCAACAAAAAAAAAAAAAAAAAGAAATGCTAACTGCCCTGAACTGATTATTATACATATACTGGATACATGAATCTAACTACAAAAGTAAACATCATAAATAAGTACATATATTGTGTCAATTAAAAAAAAGGCTCAGAACACATTCTTTATTCATAAAATACTCAAAATACACAGAATGCACCCTAAAAAGGATTAATTTCTTACCTTAAGTCTAGTTCTTTTGTCCGAAGAAAATTTAAAATGGGTGCAAATGCAGCTGGATCTCTATCAATAAATATCTACAAATGAAAATGCATTTTATTTTAAATTTTAAAAAATCAATGTTTACCTTCATTATCTGAAATACTAAGAACTAAGACTGAATTGTTTAAATATCCTACTTCAATGATTCCATTCTTAAAATGTTTCTAAATCAGAATGTAGTTGTAATTCTGCATTTAATTTGACAGTGTCCATTTTCTTATTTCTACCTACTGGTATTTAAGGGGAAAAAGACACCTGAGCAAACAATTTTATCTGAAAATTTAGAATTCAAGAAGTCCTTTGAAAACATTACAAATATCTTACATTGTAGAATCTGTTGGTGACAGTGACTGAGATAAACTACAGATAAACTGCAGTGACTCAGGTAGGTAATCCAAAAAGTAAGGATTTCATGCTACTATCCAAATTGTAAGAGAATTACTCTCACAACACTTTTACATTTACAGTTTACTACCTCAGTTTACTCAACAGTTGGGAAAGGGTGATGACAAAAAAATATGTATTATTTAAACTAATAAATATAACACCACAACATATACACGAGAAAGTAAAATCTTTAAGTGGGAAATACATACCTGATAGCAATTTAAGGCTATGTGTACAAACACTATTTTGAGTTGATTGCAAGAGGTCTAACCATAACTTGAAAACCATTTAATGCTACCTTAGCCAATTAATTAGATAGGGGAAGACTAGCAATAATAAAAACTTTTTATACTATGATCAAATATATATTTACAATTAGTAAAATTCTTCTGTTTGTATTTGAGTCCATCAGAAATTGAAGAAATGTCACAGATTTGTAGAGACCTTACTACTGATGAGGATGTTTAATAAACCCATATGGATATGTCGGCTTTATTACCTTATTTCATCTGAAAGTGTTACCACAGCAAATCAACATGACTGTCTTGCTGTCTCCACACCCTCATGTTGTTGCATGAACTATTTTTGATTGAAATTTTAGAGGCCTATACTTTCCTCTCTAGGCCATTACTAGTAAGTTCATAAGGCTATTTCCCCCCAAAAAAACTTAAAAGGTAGTACCTTATTAATCTGATGTTTCTTATTCTGTCCACTTCTACTATTGCCAATATAACATTATATCCTACCACTTCTTTAATCATGAATACCTAAAATTGCTGCATACAACAGCTCCTATTTAGTAGTCTCTTTCCTGCTTAGATACATTAAACATGGCAAGAAATATATATATATATATATATATGTATACCCACATATGTATGTACATGTATTTATGTATATTATATAACTTCCATTTAGTGATGATTAAAATGCTAGTTTTCCTGTATTCTTACTCATTGCATACTAGGAATTAAACATCAATTACATTAGAAATAAATATCAACATTATATACTCACAGCACCAGTTTCATCTCGAAGTGTTGAAATTCTTCCACTCAGCAAACTAGAAGCCATTAAAACAAGAGTTAGTTTTTGAAATCTAAGCATGAATAGATTATTTTTTTATCATATGTCTAAAACCAATACAAGCAAGTTTTCTGTCACCAACTTAAAATATTTCTACTTTAGCCAGTCCTCCTGGTGCAAACCTATCATCCTAATACATAGGAGAAATGAACATAGGGTTCCAAGCCAGACTATGCTAAAGAGCAAGACTTTTGTCTCTCCATCAAAACCAAAATCAAAACATGTCATTTCAAGCATTAACACTTAGAAGCCAGGTATAGTGGTTTACATCTCAAATTCTAACACTCAGGACACAGAGGAAGCCAGAGAATCAAGAGTTCAATGATAGTAGGGGGTGACAATAGTAACGTGTCTCAAAAAAAAAAACACATTTTCCTCATGGGGTGTATGTATGTGTATGTGTATGTGTGTGTGTGTGTGTATGTATGCATGTATGTGTGTCCATCCTGTGGCTAGAACTCAGGGCCTGGGCACAGCCCTTGAGCTTTTGCTCAAGGCTAGTCTCTATCAGGTAAGCCACAGCTCTGCTTCCAGCTTTTTGGTAGTTTATTGGACTTTTGTGCACAGGCTGGATTAAAACTGCAATCCTAAAATCACAGCCTCCAGAGGAGCCAGGATTACAGGCATGAACCACTATACCTGGCCATTTTTCATTCAAAAAAAAAAAAAATCCTTTGTTGACAAGAAAAATCAAATGTTTAATATAATAAAGAATTATATAAATTACCTTGAAAAAAAAGAATCTGGAATCCACATAAGAGTCTGCCTTGAGGTACTAAATCTGCAAATGAAAATTACTTAGTATTATCAATGAGAACAAAATTTAAAATTTGAGTATTAACTTGTTTTAATATGCTGCCTAATGATTACAGCCATATATAAAATTTATTACATTTAACATATCTAAACTTTACTACTTTCAATTCAGAGCTAAGATTATTCCAAGGAGGTCTCAGCAAAATCAAATAATTATTTCTCCACCTTATTTCATAAACACAACTTTGGTTCAGATTCCCTCATCTCTCCAAACTTTCTTTTTTTCCTGTAATAGCCAGGAGTCTAATATCGCTAAACAGCTGTTCACTGTGTTGGTGTCTTTACCCTAGCCTGATCGGTTTCTTCAGGTCTCAATCCACCTTTATTGATACCATTAAGGCCTACCAAAGCTGTAATGTTTTCCCAAGTATTCTAATTCATATTACTTGTTTTCTTTTTTGTTTTTCAGTACTGGGGTTTGAACTGAGGGCCTCTCAAGGCATTCTACTACCAAGCCCTGCCAGCCCCTTTTTTGCACTGGTTATTTTGAGATAATGTCTCAAACCTTTTCCCAAGGACAGTATTGAACTACAATTCCCATGATCTCAGCTTCTAGATTAGCGAGGATAATAGGCATAGGCCATTCTGCTCATTTTATATTACTCATCTGAGCTCATATTAACTCCATTACAAATTATGCATTCAAAATAATTTGTATATTTACCTAATAGTTGGGCTATTTGCAAAAGTTGCTTCATTCACTCAAAAACCTCTCAGCAACGCTGGGTAATGATGGGTCATTCCTGTAATTCTAGCTGCCTGAGAGGGTGAGGTTGGAAGGATCAAAGTTGGAGGACTAAAGTCTAAGGATAGCATGGGCAAAAAGTTCTGGAAATCCCTTATCAACTGACAGCTGGGCATGGTGGTAAATGCTTGTCATCCTGAAATTCTTTACTGAGATCAGGAGGATGGAGGTTTGAGGCCGTCCTGGGCAGCAAAGAGTCTTAGGGAAGACTCTATCTCAATGGAAGAAGTTGAACATGGTGCGTGCACGTGTCATCCCAGCTATAACAGCAAAGCTAAAATTGGTGGATAATGATTCAGGCACTACCCAGGCAAGAACATGTTGCCTAGCAAGCCTGAAGTCCTGGCTTCTAACCACAATACCATAAAGAAAACAAACCACTCGTTATTTTGAGTCTAATTATCGTTATTTTGAGTCTTATTATCATCAATTCTGGGGAGAGGGAGTTTATCAAAGTACAGGTAACAGACTGGAAAAACAAATTACCAATGAATTTCATGTGTCAGTTTAAGTGTTAAGTAGTTTCTTAGGCTCATTAATCTGATTTAAAAAGGAGGCTGAGGCAGGAAAATGGGTAATTCCAGGGTAGTCAGCTGGGATACATCAAGTTCAAGGACAGCCTAAGTTGCACAGTGAAAACAAAAGAACAAATGAGAGGAACTAAAGCTGTATTCAATAAAACATGAACATCTTTCCCATGTATAATCTCTTAGCAAGCAAGACAAAATCAAGATGGCCACTAGTCACAGAAAATTTACCTGACCAATAAAGGAAATCAGACAGGTAAACTGAAAGACCTCAAGGATCACCGTAAGAAAGATTCACTGTTGTGCAACATCAAAATAATTCCAAAAAATCAATGCCCCAAAAGAAATATGTTAGCCATAAATAACCATGAAAAGAAATCAGAGTAGAAACATCAAGTGAGTGAGAACACTGTCTTTAGTAACACAAATACAAGACCTTTTTTTTGTGAGCTCTATTCCATTGTTGCATCTATCATTACCTGCAATATTCTCATATAATGGTGGGGGGGGGGGAGATTCACGTCCTATATTAGGAGGCATAAATCTTCATGATTGGTATGTTCAGCATGCAGTAACTTTGTTTTGCAGGTAAAAGAGGTAACAAAGAATGAAGTATTACTGTTTCTTAGACTGAATTTCCTAGCCCATTCAGAAAGCTGAAGGATTCAAACACTCCACATGGTTGCCGTTTTTTCATTTCTTAAAGACACCGGTTAGGAGTTGAGATGTGTAAAGGCTGTCTGTCTGTCTGGGAGGCTGTCCAGGACATTTATCCCCCACTGCGCCTGATGGTCAACGCACCCTTCCTTCCAACACAGACAGCTGGGCAAACTCCCTTTTCTGAGAAAGGTGACTCATAAGTCATGGCAAGTACACAAAAAACTGCCTTTTCCCTCCCAGTGAGCTTCATCCAAAGCACACAGAGGAAGCAGGGAAGGCCTGAGCGAGGATGAAGAAGGCCTTTCACAGTCTGTTTGCAGGACCAGCATCCACAAAGGTCCCCAAAATTAACTCCTCGACCGCAGGTGGTTGTTATCGTTTGTTGTTGTTGTTTGGGGGGGGGGGGCAGGGAGTCACACTACAAGTAGAAACTGAGTCTCAACTCCAGGCCCCAAGAAGTTCCCCAAAGGCAACCACGCCCCACCTGGGCAGGCTGCGCACCGAAACTCGTGCGCCCCGGGAACCTTGGAAAGCAACTCGGTGCGTGTCTGCCGGAGTGCACGGGGGCCCGGGCGAGCGCGGAGCGAACCCAGGACACGACAGGCTTCGGCAGAGACGGCGCCTGAAACCCACCCGGGGGGCGCGAGCCCAGGCCGGCCCAGCCCGCCGGCGCTTCCCCAGGCCTGGCTCCCCCGGGCCCG